TTCATGTAATAGTAACAAAATCTGAAAAACAAAATTTAAACATATTCATTTACAATAGCATCAAAACCACAAATGAAATAAATTTAACAATTTAATTTTATCTAATTTATTAAACGTTAAATTTTAATAATATTTCTATATTGAAAACAGATGGAGTCTCGCTCTGTCACCCAGGCTGGAGTGCAGTGGCGCGATCTCGGCTCACTGCAAGCTCCGCCTCCCAGGTTCAGGCCATTCTCCTGCCTCAACCTCCTGAGTAGCTGGAACTACAGGCGCCTGCCAACATGCCAGGCTAATTTTTTTGTATTTTTAGTAGAGATGGGGTTTCACCGTGTTAGCCAGGATGGTCTTGATCTCCTGACCTCGTGATCTGCCCACCTCGGCCTCCCAAAGTGCTGGGATGACATGCATGAGCCACCACGCCCGGCCCAAGGTATGCTTCTATACTAAACACTATAAAAGATATCTATAAGAAATTATAAATGACCTAATAAATAGAGAACTGTAGACTCTCTGTTAAGATATCAATTCCTCCTAAATTTATCTATAGTTTTGATGTAATAAAAATCAATTTCTCAGTTGGGTTTTTTAGGAAATTGACAAGATAGTTCTAAAATTTAAGTGAAAATACAAAGGACCCAGTGTAGCCATCTCCTTCTTCTACAAAGCCTTGAAATAACAAAATTTTGGACTCACACTACTTAATCTCAAGATTTACTATTAAACTTCAGTGAAAAAGAATGGCATAAAGAAGGAAAAAGTTCAAAAAAGATCCATATGTATATGGCCAATTTATTTTCAACAATGGCATTAGATAATTCAGTAGAAAAAGAAAAATCTTTTGAGCAAATGGTTCTGGAACAACTGGAGATTCATGAAAACAAGTAACTTCAACTACATTTGAAAATGATTTGAGATACAAGTTATATTTATGTCCCAAAGCTTCCAGAAGAAAACTTAGAAAACTATTATTTGCAAACTTGAAGCAAAGATTTAATAGTAAGTTAGTAATAAGCACTAAAAACAAGAGACTCAAACTGATATACTGGACTTAAAAATTTTAAATATCTGTTTATCAAAAGACACAAGCCTGGGCAACATAGCAAGACCCTGTGTCTAAAAACTTTCTTTTATAAATTAGCCTGGTGTAGGGACATATGCCTCTAGTCCTAGCTGCTCGGGAGGCTAAGGTGGAAGTACTGCATGAGGCCAGGAGTTTGAGGCTGCAGTGAGCTATGATTGTGCCGCTGCACTCCAGACTGGGTGCAAAGTGAGACCTTGTCTCAAAAAAACTCCAAAAAACAAAAATGAAAAGATAGGGAAAGAGAGTTGGAACTGATTGCTTAATGGGTATGAGTTGTCTTTGGGGTGCTGAAAATGTTTTGCAACTAGTTAAGGATGGCAGTTGCAAAACATTTTGAATGCACTAAATGGCTACGTTATGTTAATTTCACCTAAATTAAAGGAAAAGACGTGGGGGACAAAAGGAAAGGGAGAATAAATAGAAATAAGGGATGAGCCACTGGCAAATTTGGGCCATTTTAAAATTTAGAGCATAATAGCATTAAAAGGAGAAGAAAGAAAAGAAAAAGAAAGGAAATGGAAAGAAAGGCAGGCAGGCTAAGATACTTAATGAAAGAAACCTTTGCAACACATATATTGAACAAGAAATGTATGTCCCAGTAATACAAAGAACGCTTCCAAATGAAGAGGGAATAAACAATCCAATGTAAAACTATTTGTAGTGTGATACTTTACACATATTGCAAACAATTTTCATAGAGCTGAGGGGTTGAATAAAATGTGGTGCATCCATAGAGTTAACCATACCAAGCATAAAAGAATGAGGAATATATCTTTGAATACACATGAAGTGATTTCCACGACATATTAAGTGGAAAAAGAAAATTGCAAAAAAAAATCTATAGTATGCCACCAATCATGTAAGAAGGAAGGGGATATGATAAAATATATACATGTATCTGCCCATTTGTGATCAAGAAAAAAAAGAGAAAAAAGTAAATCAGAAACTATTAGACTAGTTAACTCTAGGGGTTGGGTGAGATTAGGGTGGAAAGAAGGGAGGAATAGAATCATTGTAGCAGGGGTGATGGGGAAGTGATATTTCTCACAATCCTAATTTTTAGAACCACAGTAATATTTCACATATACAAAATATAGTTAAATTAATCCAAAAGGTGAGGGAACTCAAAATGGAACATAAACAGTAAAAAAAAAAACCAGACTGATTATATGATTAATGTAACCATACTGTAGGGGATAGGAAAAAAAGATAACTAACCTAAATACGTTTAGAAACAGTATGTTGACCGAACACTGTTAAGGATAAAGAAAAAAGAACTATATTTAAATACCGTGCTATAGTTAGTGATTTCATTTTTAAACGGGTATAATTTAGAAATTCTGAAATTACTTTAAGCACATACCGCACTGAAGAAATAACAAAACACATTGTAGAAAATGAAAGGTAGGTTTCTCACTGTTGAAGAAATCACAAATAAGCCAAGACGAAAGAATAAAATGAACATTATGATGATGGATTATAATCATAACAGTATGAACTCATGATTTTTAATAAAGATATATACTATCTATAGTATTCTATATATTACTGGTATATATATTTAAGATAGATAAATGGACAGAGACATTATAGGTATGTGTGTGTGTGTAAATGGACACATAGCTCCGAGCTCTAGGCCTAGAAGCAATAAAACCCCGTTAGCAATGAATACACTTAATAACAAGATCTTGGTTTCTAAATACTATTTCGCAATATGAAGAACTAGAACTCGCTGAGGAAATGGTTGATTACAGGCTTGGGGAAGGAAAATACAAGACAAACCTAGAACATCTTGTGATACCAGAAAATAAGAAGTGGTCAAAAAATTATGGGGTGGTATTAAAAGAACACAGGGCCAACTTAAAGGAGCTCCCAATGATCAAATCCAGGAAAAAAAAAAATGAAAATCAAACACAAATAATGATTGCAATATATAACAATCCATAAAGTAAGATATGCACAAATCCACACGGATGTAAAATAACAACTGAGTACAAATAAATGGGGAAGAAGGACAGATCTTTACAGTCAAATTCTAATACGTAGAGAAAATATCATGGAAATAGAAACCATCACTAGGTTTACACCATAATCATAATTGCTGTAGGCAAGAATCTTCAATTATTACTGAAATTAGATGAAATAAAATATTTGCATAGTCTCAAAGTATCTCCTCACAAAATATTAATTACAAAGAAAGGAAAACAGTAACTTTGCAGTGGATAAACCTGGCAGACACTACCTTAATCAAGTGATATTTAATATCAGCAGAAATAAGACACTGACATCATGTACCCCAGATACAATCCACTGAAAAGGGCACACCATTACTGCTGTGTTATCTTTTGTCAAAAGTGCATAATCTTAATCTAATAATAAAAAATATCAGACAAATCCAAATTGAGGACTAGGGTACAAAATTATGGTTTAGTATTTCTCAAATGTGTCAATTTAATGAAATACAAAGACTGAGGGAACTCTCCCAGATTTGTAGTTAGGAGAGAGGGCAAAGGAAACATGCCAGATAAATGCAATAAGGGATCTTGAATTGGATCCTGGACTAGATAAAAAGGACATTAATAGGGTAACTGGAAAGACCTGAATATAGTCTGCAGATTGGTTGATAGTATTATATTAATTTCCTGATTTCAATCATTGTATGTAATGTCATAATAATGATTATATAAAATGCTAACATCCAGAAAGCTGGGTACAGAATACACAGGAACTCTACTATTTTTGCAAATTTCCTGTAAGTCCAAAATTACTTCAAAATTGTAATTTAAAAGTTGGGAAAAATACACAAATTTTACTACAGAAGATTTACAATTGGACAACTTCATGAAAAACTGGTTGCCTTCTTAAGCGGTCAAATTTCAAATTGAAGTCACAACAAAATGTCAGCTCACACCCAGTTAATAGATAAGACTCACAATTTCCAATGTTGGCAAAAATGGACAGCAACTAAAAATCTCATATCACTGGTTGGGAGTGTGAAAACTGTCCACTTCTTTAGAAGACTCTAGCAGTTTTCTATAAGTTAAGCAAAAATCTGTCTTATCAAACAATTCAATTTTTAGGTATTTACATAAGAGGTCTGCTAACATTCAAAACAGCTAAAACCTAGAAACTACTCAGGTGTCCATCAACAAGAGAGTAGATAAACTGCAATATAACCATTTAGAGAAATATTACAACTATAAAAATTTCTTAAAACTGCTCATATAGGGAATAGCATGGAAAAATCTCAACATGATTATGATGAGTGGAAGAAGCCAGACACACAGTGTGATTCCATTTATATTAATTTCAAAAGAGGCAAAACTTATCTGTGATTGTAGAAATCACAACATTGGTTTTTTGAGAAGGTGCTTGGTTGTGGCGGTAGGGTAGGTTCTCAAGTAATAAAAATATTCTGTCTTCTGAATGGGATAGTAATTACTTTTAAGAAAACTTACTGAATTATACAATTACTATATATCAATGCATTTAACTATGTAAATTTTACTTATGGAAAAATATAAGTCATTGAAAATAGGGAAGCTCCACATCTATGGATATGTAATAATCAGAAATATTAAAATATTTATATAATACATAAGCTATAAAGTTATGGAATAGTATAAAAGCATGAGTGTGTATACATACACATTTAAAAATAAAATTGTAAAAATGTTTATAGAATAAGAAGTGTTACTATTTCTCTAGCTTATTTGAAAATACTTAAAATTAACACGAAGTAAATATGGCAAAATGCTGATAATGATGGAACCACTTCCAGTTCCTTGTATGTGCTAGTTCACTGTTCTCTTCTCCTTATACACTGTATGTTTACAATGTGTTCATAATGAAAAGTTTTATAAAATGCACAGTGGGGTAAATCTTTCACTGCCAAAAACAAGTGAATATGAATGTATTACACATGTTTAAGAATTTATTAGGAAAAGAAATAAAAGAATACAGAACCAATATATACAAGTAAATTAGAACCTTAAAAAATACCTGATAAATTATACCAAAGACCTGATTGAGGGAGAGGGAAGGGGAAGGCTAGTGATGCTAAACATCCACTAGTTAAACTTATTCATTAACAAAGGCGTGGCAGAAATAACTATAACTGGAATGAAAATGAATACATAATTGAAACAAGAGAAATGTAATAGAATGATGAAAGAACACTGTATACCTTAATGCTAATGTGTTTGAAAATCTGTATGAACTGTGATTTGCTAAGATAACACAGGTTAAATTTAAGACACAAAACAAAGAACAAGCAATAACCATACAAAAAAAGGAAAAGAAAAAAAAAAAAAACTTCTAGATAGCCTCTCTTCTAACTCCAAACCACCAAAAACAAAGGAGAATCCAGATGATTTCACTGATGTGTTCACTTAAACACTGATAGTGAGATAAGAGCTTTTCCACCCACTCTAGAACACAGTATCAGAAAATCCTCAAAATGATTAACACAACCAGAGTATCTGATATCAAAACATGACAAAAATAGCACAAAAAAGAAAAATCACAGGTCAATTTCACTTAGTTGTATACTTGTAAAAATTCCAAATCAAATTAAAATACCCACGATTAAGTAGTAAATTAAAAGAATAAAACATTTTTAAAACCAGTAGGGTCTGTTCATTCAAGGAATAAAAGGAAGTTGCAATAACAGTAAATTAATTCATAGTGAGAAAAGTCTTTAAAAAGAACAGTAACACAGATTCTGCAAAAAAAATTTGATTATATCTACCACCTGGTTTTGATTAAAATTCCTTACAAAATATAAAAGGTGGGAGACTTTCCTAACATAGTAGACAAAGTATTTCGCACTTAAAAATCAGCATTTCACACATTGATGATTAAGACCACCCACATCAAAATAACTTACCTATTGGGAATAAGACCTGATACCACCCCCAGCAGAGTCCTGCCCAGCAAGATAAAACTGTAAACCAATAAATAAATTCAGTTTGCTTATCTAGGCAAATAGTTCTTCTATCATTGATAACATATTTCTACAGGCAAACAGCTCACCTAGAAAATGATTTGACCATCAATCCTCACATTAAGAACCTCATCTCACTTTCCCACCAATCTTAAAGTATTGCATGACAAATTTTGCCCATTTCTAATTAGTTCCCTGCCCAGACCCCAAAGCCTTTCTTGATTTTGAAACATTATTAAATCCTATCAAGGTGGTGTTTTCCCTTGCTGCAGGTAAGTTTAACAAACTCAGCTTTGCTTGATCATAGCTCTTTCTGGTGGTCTTTGGGAGAAAATGACCAGCAACAATGTGCCAGTCAAACCAAAGAAGCATACCATTAAACCCTGATTAAATCAAGGGTGGGTAATATTTCCATAACTGTTCAAGTGTTCTGATAGTAACAGTCTGTGGACTTTGTCAACATAACTAATATCAGGATCAATATGAAGGGGGGAAATAAAAACTTTAAATATTTGCAAAGGATTTAGTCTATACTTTGAAAAAATCTGAAAAGCAACAAGAAACAGTAAGGTGACCACTTACCCCCAAAACAAAACAAAACAAAACAAAAACTTTAGATACAAAAAATGAACAAGAAAGCAAATTAAAAGAAAAACTCCCATCACCAGAGTGAAAATATTAACAGTAATTAAAATTATTGAATACGAAAAGACATACCTTGTCCTTGGATACGAAGACTTAACTTAATATTTTTAAAAACCATTCTCCCCTCAATTGATTTATTAAAGTTGATGAAATTGCAGTCTAAACTGTAATTTCTTCCAACGAGAAGACACATGAGACAGGAGGCAGAAGAAGAGACACACAAATCCACAGAACAAAAATGGAGCCAGTCACAGATGAGAGTACAGCATATGCGCAAGATGGCAGTACAGATAAATGGGCAATTATTGGCAAATAATCGCAAGTAATGGCAAGTAACTTGGCAACTTTAAGATTTCAAAACAAAAAAATTTCTCATGATTTAAGAATTTGAATTAAAAAAACACAAAAGAATTAGAATTTAACATAGGTGAAGGGTTTTATGGACTCAGTATATATATCTTTCCAAAAATGACATGAAACTCAGAAGCCATAAAAGCGAACATGGTTATACTTGGACATATAACAATCATACACATTCTTATAACAAAAACAAAGTTAAAAAGTGTGTAAAAAAGAGCTGTAATGGTTGACAATCCAAATCTTATTTCCCGAAATAGTAAATGAGCTCTTCGAAATCAGGAAGAGACTAAATCCTCCTCCCACCCACAAAATTGGACATAAAGAAGAAATTAAAAAATACAGATGGCTAACAAACATGAAAAAATGACCAAACTCAAAAACAAAAGAAATACAATTTAAGACAATAGTTTGGGTGATCACATTGGCAAAAATTTTAAATATTTATAAAATCCATTGTCTGTGAGGTTGTAGGAAAGCTGGCAATCTCATTCATTGCCATTGGAGGATAAAGTTGTTAACCACATTTTTGAAGGCAAACTTGCAATAATTTTCAAAATATGAAGTGTGCACATACTTAATCCCAGTAATTCAACTGATAAGTAATTTATTATGATATTATAGACAAATGCAAAATTATTGATATATAGGGAGGTTCATTGCACAGAAATTTGGTGCTAACATAAATATCTATGAGTGAGAAATGCTTAAAACATTTAATTATATTTCATCTACAAAACATTCATGTCGTCATTCAACAAATGACACAGATGTGTATGTATTACTGAAAAAGAAAAAGGCCATTGAATGAGGGCTGTTAAATGAAAGAGGTAATTTGCAGAAAAATGTGTTACAATATGGCCACACTCCTGGATCCTTCCCCAAAATGGCTTGTGTATTCGTGTGCATCTATCCACTAAAAGAATGCATGTAGTTCACTTAATAGAGAAAAACTATAGGGACAGAATTGGAAGAGAGGAGGGCATTTAATTTATATATTATTTAAATATGCTTTGAATTTTTGAAAAAAATCATGCAGAGTTTCTTTTTAATATATTCTGTATTTTTCAGTGTATCATGTGGCAAATGAAAATTATAAATGTATATTTATGGGAGCACTGAGCAATTCCACCATTTTGAGCATCTTGTGTAATATTTTATCCTCTACTGAGGCTCCTGGGATTGAGTCAAGTGGCAGCAAGGGAAACAGTCACCATGCCCCAATTAAAGTCTCATCGATGATATCCCAACATGAGCATTTCTCAGTTAAGCATTTCTTATCTGCAGGAGGTATCCACTGCAACACAGGAAAGAGAAGAGTCCCCATGCATAAGGAAGACTGAATCATTGTTTTGGTGAAGCTGGCAGTAGAAGGAATGGCACCAACTCAACAAATCCACCTCTTTGTGGCCATCACCTGCAAGGACACAGTGGGGAAAAGTGGCAAAGGTGAGAAACACATTTCCTAAGGAGTCATGGGGGTATGAAATTCCTCTTTAATCTTCCCCCTACTTGTGCTAGAACAAATATACCCACAGTACACAGAGAAAACCTCATTTCTAGCACCTGAGTCCATGATGAGGCCAAAACAATGACATTAAAACTTCCTGATGTCAAGGATGCCAGATACTGATGCTGCTTTTTCTCCTTTTGCTGGGCTAAAAAGTAACAGCCATCAACAACCTCGGGTTTCATGTCTCTCTCTTCCTCTCTGGTTTCTTAAAGCTCTAGGTCATTCATTTGTTTGATCAGTTACTTCAGACCAGTTTGTCAACCTTCCAGTCTAACAGTTATGGAGAAGCTACTGTGTTTCCTTTGTACAACAATTTTCTAGCATTACAATGGATCAAGCCATGAAGGAGTTGAGTTTATTAGATGACAGAAGTTAAGGAAATCCTTCATATTAACAGTAAATGTACTGAGATTTAGAAAAGCCACGAAGGTATATTAAGAAAAGCTGCATCTCTTAACATATTACGCAATCTGAGAATCAATTAGAATGTAATCAAACATCATCAATATTCAGAAAATTAACAGCTCAATTTCTACTAAGACATGGCTTCTCCTAGAAAGCAAGGACTATTTTAACTAACACCTTACCTTTAGTGGGTGGCCTAGGCAATGCATAGGTGAGGAGGCTTTTTGTCTAAGGGGTGTTGTTTTGGGAATTTGCTGATAACATTCACTCTCAGAAGAGTTCCCAGGAAGTCATCTTCTGAGGTGAAAAAAAAAAGAAAGAAAAAAAGAGAAACACCACTTCCAATGAAACAAGCAATGCAGCTGGAATCTGGAAATTCCTTCTCTGCTACTCTTTTATATTGATTTAATTTAATTAACATAGTTCTGAAACCATAACCATCTAGTCCATAACTACACATTTCAATGTCAGCACACTGCATCAGGGACCTTCTCTCTTGCGCATTTCCAGACCCGACTAGATCACCTGAACCCCACTGAAAGTTATGTCTCTTTCTGTTTTAAAATCATTTGTTTTCTACTGCTTAGTTGGTCAGGTTACTCACAAAATTACCAAGACAATCTACTTATATATCTTTTTATCAATAAAAGTTTATTGAGAACCTGTTCTACGACAGGCAATCCACAAGGTGCTTGTATCACAAAAAATGAACTGAAAAAATATCTGGACATAAGAAATTAAAAGTTCACTGGATGAATCAATCATACAAATAAAGAGCTGAAACATAATGGTCTTATGGAGGCAGATTCAGTTTTGGGCTCGGATTGCCGAGGAAGACCTGTTGTGACCACTCGCCTTTAATTCCCCAGAACAGTATCCACCCTCAGCTGGCTATCAGATGGGTTTTCATGCTATTTAACTGGAACCAAATGTCATCAAACTCAAGAAGAGCAGTATCTATCAACTCCTTCCATCCTAGGCCTGTTTCCTATGAATGTGCAGTTCCCTGCCCACATACCTGCAAGGGTGTCCAAGAAACCACAGGTAGGCATGGAGAGTCACTGACCAGGGAGTAAGTTGTCAGCTCATTCTCTGGAGTTTTCTTTAATTCATTCTCTTGCTTCCTGACAAATCAATAAACACATTTAGTAATATTTATCAGGATGTAGTGGCTTACAATTCTATTTTCAAACATACTTTCCCCAATATAATTTTAGCTAATATTTCTAAGACAGATATTTTATAAATGTTGTTTTTATCAGATTTGAAAGTTAAGGCAAGGGCATGGACAGTTTCGCTTCCCTTCTAGGCTCTATCATCACTTGACATAAAAGAAAAAAAGAAAAAAAAATGCACCTAAAATACACACATCTGTATGTTCATATAAACCACACACACACACACACACACACACACACACACAATCTAATTTAACAATGAAACATTCAGGAAGTATGGGTATCCTGTGCTGGGAAAACACGGATGTTGCTAAGCCCTTTGTGTGTCACGTACACAGGCTTCAAATACGCACTGCCCTCCCTTTACTCTGTAAGGTCCAATGGACGCAGAGAGTGGCCAGCTAATGACTACATTAGTAAGATAAAATATTCCCAATCTATTAAGACTAAGTGTTATAAAACAAAATTTACACCATTATATACAGAGCAATATGATCATGGTCTATTACCACCCAGTGAAGCCCAAGGAAATCTTCTAAGGATTCCACTGGTGAAGGACATGTTTCTAGCTCAACAATTTTTTTAAGACTATCATTACAAAACAATACATTTCAATAATTTCTAAATATCTGGAAAGGGTGGATTAAACTAAGCTACTCTTTTTTAAAGCAATAGTCTAAAATTTGCCCCCAAACAATAATCTAGTGAAAGGCAATGTTTATGTGCAATAATCAGGACTATCCTATAACCACTCTTCATTAAAAAGACATACATAAATAAAATATCTTGATCTATGATTTGGAAGAAAGCATGTAATACAAAATCATTTTCAACAGCATTAATATAACCAGAAAGTCTAGACATGATAAAATGATATATCTCTATTCAGAATAGCCATATAACTATACAGTGGCTTACATGTGATTTACTGATCTCAGCCTTGTTGATTACCTAAGGGACAAATGTAAAACTGTGCACATCTCAAACAGATGTGCTAATACTCTCTGAAGCCATCTGCAAAATAATGCATCATAAATTTTACCAAATATATTTACAGGTTTTCAATTGTCCTGTCCCTGTCAACCATTAAGACATCTTGAAATTACAGATTCATGTAAAAGTGTAAAGTTTTAACTTTACAAAAAAAGTTAAGCCAAAAACATACAATAGTTAAAACACGCGTTTGTCTTCCGAATAAAAACATACTGATACAAGGCTACTGTTTTCTTTACTTCACTCTGTTGTCTCCTGATAAGTTAATAAACAAATTTAGAAATATTTATCAAAATGTGGTAGCTTACAATTCTATTTTCAAACATACTTTCCCAAACTAATTTTAGCTAACATTTCTAAGACAGATATTTTATAAATGTTTTTATATTTTATAAATGCTTTTATCACATCTACATCTTTTATCACAGAATAGCATACACGTAGTAGTGTATGCTATTGTGACCAATAGAACTTTCTGTGGCAAAAGTGTTTTATAATTCCACTCTATAATATCAATTATGTTGATAATACATGGTGTGCAGTAACTTGAGAAAAATCACTAAATAGATAAAGAGTGCAATCAGCGTGTTTCAGCCTGTCACTAACTGTGTTAGGGTCAAGTTCTCATTTTATTTAATATAGTATCTTCAAGATAGAGAGCGCCCTTTCAATGATTAGAAGAGATATAAGACAAAAATAAAGAGAGTATTACTTACAGGTCCTGAGGGGTACATGGCATGCCTGGGAGTCCACATGCAGAGGTCAGGGAGTGAGAGAGACGGAGAGAGAAAGAGAGACACACATGGGCCAATGCCCTTACTCAGTCAACGGTACTATTCAAACAGGTTTGCTATGGAGACTTCTAAGTGGTGGGTCTAAAGCAAGCAGGCATGAGTCCCCTAGGGTCACACTGTGACTGGGAGGTGGACACTGGCTCCATAAGGGGTGTGGGGTTCAAGGGGCTTGTCAGGTAGATTGCATCAAGCTGTCCCATGGTGAAGTGGTCCAAAGGAGGCAGTTGGATAAGGCAGCTATCTGGACCAACCACACTGAGGAACGAGGAGGAGGTGTAGAACTGGAAACTATGCAAAGGTGAGTAAGCCTTGCTTCTAGTACAAGAAAGTTAAATTTATATTCAAGATGGATGCCAAGGCAACATAAAATTATAAGAATTCACTACATTCTTCCAATGTCCATACCCAAAAGGGCACACTGCTCAGGCCTCAGGGACATTCTCTCAATCATACATCTCAATTCTAGCCCAATATCATCTTCATTCCCAAAAAGGAGAAACTGTTCAAACATTCTTGATACCCAATACCTTTCTGCTATAAGTTAAGCAGAGAAATGTCAAACATCCTAGAATCTTTAGGAATGAAAACCATGGAGCACTTACCATGTGATTAATGTTGATACATGATTTGATTACAAGAGGCTTCCCAAAATTAAAACAATTCCCCACTGGCTACAAACAGTTGCCAGGCACAGTGGCTCATGCCAGTAATCCCAGCACTTTGGGAGGCCAAGGGCAGATCACCTGAGGTCAGGAGTTTGAGACCAGCCTGGCCCACGTGGTGAAACCCTGTCTCTAAAAAAACACAAAAATTAGTAGTATGTGGTGGCACGTGCCTGTAATCCCAGCTACTCGGGAGGCTGAGGCAGGAGAATCGCTTGAACCCTGGAGGCAGAGGTTGCAGTGAGCCAACATCGCGCCACTGCACTCCAGTCTGAGCGATAGAGCAAGACTAGGTCTCAAAAAATATATATATATATATAATTTTTACTGCTCCTTGCAGAGCAGGGCTAACCCACAGACAGTGTTCCCTGAGTAGCCCACAGATAAATTTGGAATGAATGATATTGCTATGGGATCTTCTGGAAACCTCACAGATATGAGCAGTGAAGCCAATGAGAATCAAAATGTCAATGCTGTGTTGTTAAGTTGTAAGTGCAATGAGAATTTTGTTTTCCTTCATAGCTCTCCCCTCAAGAAAGTACAATGCAGCAAACAGCAACATTCCTGATCCAATCTATAGGGTCAGTAGTGATATCCTCTCCATCATTCCTAATTCTAATGATCTGTGTCAGTCAAGCTAAAGGACTGTCAATTTCACAAATCTCTGCACAAACCCAACTTTTGGTTTCACGAATTTTTCTCTGTATTTTGTCTGTTTTTTTATGTCATCAATTTTTGCTCAAATCCCTATTGCTTACTTCCTTCTGTTTGCTTTGATTTTCATCTTCTAGTTTAGTCTTTTTCTTGTTTAAGGTGGAAGCTTATATCATTTATTTATCTTCCCTTTTTTTCCTGATACAGTTATTTAAAACTATAAATATCCCTCTAAGCATGTCTTTAGTTGTATCACATTCTATGCAAGATGTTTTCTAGATTCTTTTTATTTTTTATTTTTATTTTTTAGACAGGGTCTCATTTTGTCACCCAGACTGGAGTGCAGTGGCACAATCTTGGTTCAATGCAGCTCCTACCTGCTGGTCTCGAGTGATTCTCCTACCTCAGCCTCCCCAGTAGCTGGTACTACAGGCACGTACCACCATGCTCAACTCATTTTTTGTATTTCTTGTAGAGATGGGGTTTTGCCATATTGCCCAGGTTGGTCTTGAACTCCTGGCCTCAAGTGATGTGCCCACCGAGGCCTCCCAAAGTGCTGGAATTACAGGTTTGAGCCACCACCCCTGGACTTTCTAGTTTCTTTTTACAGATTTTTGACCAATGGGCTCTGTAAAATGTGTTAATTTCCAAATATTTTGTGACCTCCAAATGTATTTGTGTTGACTTCTAATTTAATTCCTCTATGGTCACACAACATCCTCTACATGGTTTCAATCTTAAATTTATTGAGTACAGTTTTATAGCCTAACACATACTCTACCCTGGCGAATGTTCCAGGTATGCTTGAAAATAATTTGTATTTCTGTTGTTGGGTGGAGTTTTCTCTATCTATCTATCTATCTATCTATCTATCTATCTATCTGTCTGTCTGTCTGTCTGTCTGTCTGTCTCTCTCTCTCTCTCTCTCTCTCTCTCTCTCTCTCTCTCTCAGGTCAAACTGGTTGATAACACTGCTGAAGTATCTTGTAACCTCAATGATGCTCTACCTAATTGACTTATCAGTGATTAAGAAGAGGCTATGAACAAAAGTTATTATTGTTGAACTGCCTATTGATCCCCTCAATCATGTGAGTTTTCAATGTACGTAACTTTGGGCAGTGTTGTTAGTGCCGATATGATAATTGTTACATATTCCTTATTAATTAACCATTCTACATTAAATACTATCCTCCTTCCTCTCTAGCAATACTTTATCTTAAAGTCTCTTTATTCTGATGTCAGAATAGCCACTTCTGCTCTCTTCTGGATTCGCTGCATATAGCTTTTTCCATCTTTTCCTTTCAAACTATTTGTATCTTTTGTTCTAAAGTGTCTCTTTTGTAGAGAATGTATAGTTGTTCATGTTTAAAAAACAACAGAATCTCCTAATCTCTTTTAAAAATTTGATATAATTGTCATATGGCTGGTTTTATGTCTGTCATTTTCCTGTTTTCTACATGTCTTATGTCTTATTAGTTCCGCTGTTCATTGTTAACTGCCTTATTTTGTGTTAAACAGATCTTTTCGTTATCCTATTTTAATTCTTTGGTTCTTCTTTTAATATTTTTTGAATTGTTTTCTTACTGGTGGTCCTAGTGCTTATAAAATACAACTTAAATGATCACAACCTCCCTCAGATTAACAATATATGTGTAACATGGCCTTTTATATGACTTGAAATCAATTTCAGAGAAGCAATTCTACTGCTCAGATAGTCCAGATTTCCAAAAGATTTTGAAGTCATCATCAATCCAGCCATGTTTATAAAAGGGACTGTGAGCCTGAGATAGCAGACAACACTACACACTAACGATTCTGTCTCGGACACAATGACACCATGACCACACTAAGTCATAGGGACCAGGATACAGGAACAATGATCCAGCCACATGGCTGACTACCATTACCATTAGAATGTTAAAATTCCCTAAGAAGAATACAGTATTTCCTGGACAAAATGCTTACTGTGAGAATTCCCACTGGTCTGTGAGCATGGAATGGTGTAATTATTTCTGATACTTTCTCTTGTATTTCAAGGGGAATGTTTAAACTCTTTCATATGACATCCACATTTTGGTCTACGTGGACCTGTGGAAATGGAGTAAAAATATGGGAAGATGAGAAATATACATGTCCAATCGTTAAACATGCCTAAGAAAGGAGGCTTCACTGTGTCTCTGCATATAAAATGTGCTAATTTATTACTCTACTGCGATGTCTCTGATATTATTCAAAATATAAATTGTGCAAAAATTCCAGGAGAGGAAAAGAGGCCTCGAATAACTCACCAGGTTATTAACGCCTTACACTGTTTGGTTCAACAGACTTTGTAAAAACAATTCTAAGTTATTTAATAACACAACAAAAATAATCCAGGAAATTACACGTATTAAAAACTGGATGTTACCCTTGGAGTGCATCGTTTTGATCTTTCCTGGAGAAAGAAGCTGGTGCAAATGACAAAAACAGTCCTTCTTTGGTGTGGAGGTGAGAATTCCAAGCGGCAAAGTGTTGTCTTCCACCAATATCACTTCCGATCTATAAAGGGGAAATCAGGGAGTTGAGAAACAAAACATTCCTAATGGAATATTCTGTAATAAGAGGTTGGTTGTAAGGAATTCCCCAGAGATGTTCACTGGACCATCTGTATGACAAGAACGATACTTGGTACTTGAAACATGACAGTGTAGAAATAATTGTTTTCTGAAACATTGGTCTCAAAGTTTCCTCAGCATACCCAACACATCACCATTCACTATGACTAGGCTCTCTCCTTAAATCCATTAGAAACCCACTGAAGGGATATAAAAGTGGCCAGAAAAATCCACATTTTAAAAACTTGGAAATTGAATCATTTCACATCTAGGAATGTTTAATGCAGCATGTAGCTGAAGACAGTACTTCTGTGCACACAAAATTACTCTCTCAGCTGATGAAAAAATGAAAGACAAAGAAACTGATTAAATCCCAGTGACTGCCTGGCAAGCTAATTAAATCATACTATGAAGATTACATAAGTAACACCTATTTTTCAGTTCATAACTTTTTTCACTTAATAGAGAAATGAAAAGTGAAAACCCCAAATCTCCTTGGATTTTGACCATCTTATTGCCCTCAAGAGAGCAAGCATGACTTAGAAGATTATTGCAGCTCCAACAAAAGTGTGAATGGCTCAAGTGTAGGTATAGCTATTTCCCGCAATTTCACAACTCAAGTGCTGATTCCCCAGGGTCTGTTTACTATCAACATATTTATGTTGCCAATCAAGAACTCAAGAGTTGCAATTTCATCTCCAAACTGGGTACCTACAGGTCACTGTCCAATTCAGTTTCTCTAGTGCATGTAAGCTGGTTAGTTTTCCAGTACCACAGTCCTTGCTGGGAGCACACAGCTGAACAAACTGAACTCTCCTTCCATATAGTTTGTTTAGGGTAGGTAACTGTGCTGGACCTCCTGTTCAGAGGAGTTATTATTTAACGCATTGTTTTCCCAGGTTTTTCAACAAGATTAATTATTACAGTTATCAGTGACACATGCAAACTTCTTAAAAGGGGCACTGTTTTGCCTCAGAAACATGAAAGAAAAGGAGCACTCTGGAGTACACTTCTCTGGGACACACTGATCCACCCTATTAAGTCATGGAGACCAGCTCCCAACACAGCAATGCCCCAGGCTCCATGCTGCCCAGCACAGACAGTGCCTTATGGAGTATTACATAATCCCCAAAAAAGGGCAATATTTTAGTGACAAAACACTGAGCAACCTGACCTGGCCCTTGAAGGTGTAATGGTAAAATTAATTCCCACTGGTCCCTGAGGATGGGATGGAAAAATCATTTCTGACATTTTCTGTCATGTCACATCTCAAGGGAAAGCAATAAAGTTTCATGTGAGGCTAGGTGCCTTGTCTTTGTTGACCTGTGGGAATAGGGTAAAGATGCAGAAACATGAGAACAATACATGCATATTTGTCTGCTGGTCCATCAAGCACAAGACAGTAGGATTCAGTTTATGCACCTATTAAATTAGCTAATACACCGCTCTCCTAGGATGTTTCCAGTGTTATTCAACAACAGTCAATGTGTTTGTCTCTAGCTTCCATCAGTCCAAATACTGTCCAACATTTGCTGCCAGACAAATCAAATGTGCAACCAGACTATCAGTGTGCTCAAAGTTCCAAGAAGATGTTGGCCTGGTGAACATTCCATTCACAACAATGCATAGCATTTCCATCAATTCAACCACTTCAGGATTACTTTACCTTCAAAGGTCACCCAATGGATTGGGGAGGAAGAAGTCACAAAAAGAAGGGAATAAAGAAACAATGGTCTAAAAATCACTTATAGCACTCAACCTGCTTGAGAGTGGGAGCGTGGCAATTTGCAGAGGCTGCACAGAGCTACACCGTACTGATTCCACTCAAAGTGGTCACAGCAATGCAGGCAGGACACACACAGGTATGGTACTGTCCCGGGATATATGACTAGAAGAACTGTGCAGCGTGCAGAGAGGGAAAGGCGGCCTCTAAACCCTCTCACCATGAGCTGCTTCCCACCTCCTCTCAGCTCTCAGAGTGATGCTCACCAGGTGGTACTGCTGAGGACCTACTGGCATTTGGGCACCGCATACCTCTTGGTCACACCCAACTTTCCGCTGTCACACTGTTGAGGATCAGCCTCTCTGGCACTCTCCATGCTTCATGCCCACAGAAAGATCATCAACAAGACTGAGAAAGCACAAAAATTCTGGAAAAGAACAAACAGAAGCCTCAGATGACTCACCAGATTAAGATCTTATAGTATGTGAATTAACTGACTCCATATAGCACCCGTTAAATTCCTAAATACTTAAAACAGTAATAACCCAGGAAAAAATTATCAAAAATTAGGTGTTACCTCAGCATGTTTCATTGTATTCTTTCTCAGTTGAGGAAGCTGGTAAAAGTGACATATCAGATCTTCATTTCTCATGCTTTTCAACAAGATCAGTTATTACAGTTATCAGTGACAAATACAAACTTCTAAAAAAAGGGCACTGTTAACCTCTGATCTTCATTGGTGTAAAGATTAAAAATCCACGCAACTCTAGTATCACATGGAACCTGCAAACCACAGGGGAAATTAGAGAAGTTGAGAAAGAAATCTTCCACATCGAATGGTTCCTGATAAGAATTTATGAGCAATTATGATACATACTCAATGACAAGGTGTATGTCCAGAAAAAAGTATACTTATTCCACAGAACAGGAGAATGTTTAAAGTCCTTTTCCCAAGACCTGTTCAGGTTAACCCTAAAGTCCACCTACATATCAATTAACAAGGATCTCCCTTAACATGCATAGGAAAATCCACTGATGAAATATGAAGATTAGCTAATAAAATCCACATAACATTCCAAGGACTGGAAATGTAATCATCTCACAACATCTACTTGAATCACTCAAATGTCTAGAATATTGCTTTATGCAGACAGAAAAAAAGGTCATAATTCTTGGGACTGGGTTAGCAAGCAAATTTAAACAAACTCCGAAATATTCTCACGGTTAGAAATCACTCTTTAATTTTCCAGATATTACTTCTACCTAAAAAAATTAATTGATAAGACCCACGCCATCTTTGGAACTGATGATCTAAATGACCTTAGTAAACTGCTCTCACTCAAAAGACTGTCACATCCAAGATAACTGTATGGATGACTCTAAGGTAGGCACAATCATATCTCATGGGGTCTCACTACATATGTGCTGGTTTTCCAGGGTCTATTTACTACCAGTGGATGGATGCTACCAGTAAAGCACCAAAGGAATAGCCGTTTTATTAAAAAATGGGATATTTACAGACAACTGTCCAATTCATTTCCTTCAACATACGCAGGCAGATTAGCTTTCAAATACCCCAGTCCCTATGGGCACTGACCATCCACATCCCTCCATGTTTGCCTGTCCTGTGTGCTGGACCTCAGCACACAGAAGTGCTCTGGTCACTCATTTTTTTCAGATTTCAGTGAGATTCTTTTTTTTTTTTTTTTTTTTTTTTAAAGTCATCGTCAATCCAGGATATGTGGCAGACACTGAGCACACAGCTTTCCATCAGCTTGGGGTACACTGACCCACACTATTCATCCAATTATGGAGACTGGCATCACAGTCAATGACTGGCCAATGGCTCACAAGCATGGCCAGGGTCTCAAAGTCACTGGAGTGTCACGACCTCCTAAGAGGAATGCCAGTATTTTCAGGACAAAATGCTTACCATGGGAGAATTCCTACTGATTCTTGAAGATGAGGTGATAGAAATATTCTCAACACTTTTCTTCATGTCACATCTCAAGAGGACAGAATAAAATATTTCATATGAAACCCAGTTCTTGGTTCATGTAGCTCTGTGAAAACAGTAGAAATATGCGAAGATGGTAAGTATGTATGTCCATTTGTCAAACATGCACAAGAAGGGAGGGTTTGTTATGTATATCAATATCAAATATACTAACATAACTCTACTAGGAGGTTTTTCATATTACTGAAAAGGGAGAACGAAAAAAAAATTGGAAATGAAGGATAATGAAAGCTTTGGATGATTCACCAGATAATTAATGCCTCACCCTGTTATTAACAGATCATTCACAAGACCGATTATCTACTTGACTACAGAAAAATTACAAAATAAGCCATAAAATGTAAATTTATTCAAACTTGGATGTTACCTTTGAAGTACATCCTTTTATTCTGCCCCAGGCAACGGAACAGGTAAGAGTGACAAGATCAGCATTTCTTTGGGATGGCAGTGAGAATTCCATGCAATTCCAAAATCACTTCCGTTCTGCAAGGCACAGGGGACATTACAGGAGTTTTGAAACAAAACCGTCCCAACTGAATGACTCCTGACAACAGTTTGTAATTAATTAGCCATAGTCACTTGACTATCTCCATAACTAAAAAATCTGCTTGTTGCTTGGAACAGGGTGAGTATAGAAAATCAATGTTTCCAAGATTTTGGTCTCAAAGGCCAAAGGCCCCCTGAGTATTACTAATATTAGAATCTCTCTTAAAATATACAAAGACTTAATGAAGGAATATACCTATTAGCCAACAATATCCTCCAAAAATCCCTAGAATTAGAAACTTCATTATTTTACATTAAAATGTTTAATGAAGCATCTAATTTAATCTGTCATCTAATGTTTAGAAAATTGCTCCCTGAGTGACAGGAAAAAGAAAAACAAATGCTGTTCTAATACTTGAGACTGAGTTAGCAAGCAAATTCCAGCAGGTAGTAAGATAATCCCATGAATACAGCCCACTCTTCGATTTTCACGTATTTCTTTTGGTGAAAGAATAAATAACAAGCAAAGACTGACAATTTCTTTCTAATTGACTACATAACATACCTATACATGCTGATCCTCATTAAGAATGCTGTGGCATCTATGCAAATAGTGTGAATGACTCAAGCGCTGGCACAGCTAGTTCTACAATGCTCACTCCTCGGACACTGGTGCCACAGAGCCTGATTACTAGGGGTTTGAATGCTGCCAGCCATGCACTTAAATCATTGTCATGCAATCCGCAAAGATATACAGGCCTCTGTACAATTCATCTATCTGCTCTAACATATGCGGATGGGTTAGTCTTGGTAGCAGTTGCTGACCAAACTGAATGCCCTCCATGTGTTTGCCTGGTATGGTCCCTGTGCTGGACCTCAGCTCACAGAAGTGTCTTGGTCACTCGTTTGGTTCAGATTTCCAAGGTTTCCATTTTTTTTAAAGTCATCATTGATCAAGGCACATTTATAAAAGGGACCTTGAGTCTGAGATATGTGGCAGACACTGAACACACATCTTTCTGTCACCTGGGAACTTGCCAACTCACGTTATTCAATTACAGAGACCAGCATCACAGCCAGTGACCAGCCTCATGGTAGACCAGAACAGCCCGGGTCTCACTGTCATGGGAGTGTCATGACTCCCGAAGAACAATGTCTGTGCTTTCAGGACAAAATGCTTACCAAGATTAGAATTCCCCCGGCCCTTGAGAATGGGAGGGCAGAATTATTTCCATTACTTTCCTTCAAGTCACACCTCAAGTAGAAGGAATAAACTCTTTTACATGAAATCTAGTTCTTCGTCCACATTAACCTTTGAAAATAGAAAAAAAATTATAGAAAAATAAAAAGTGCAAATGTACATTTGCCAACCATGCAAATAGTGTACATATACAACAGGTTTACTATGCACAAGTACATAAAATATACTAAATTATTGCGCTAGTAGGGTATTCTAATGTTATCTGAAAACAGAGGAAGTATAAAAATACTGGACAAAGGACACAGAAACCTCAGATGACTAACCAGATTATTAGGGCCTCACACTGTGTGGATTAACGGACTGCTTGAAAAACCAATTCTAATCTTAATTGCGAAAATAAAATAATAGAACTCATCCAGGACAAATGCACTTACAAAAAATTGCAGTATTACCTCTGAAGTGTATTGTTTTCATTGCTAGGCAAGGAATCTGGTACATGTGACAAAATTAGCAGGTTAGTGGAGCAGCAGTAGGAATTCCATGCAATTCCAGTATTACCTCCAATATGCGAAGCACAGTGAGGAAGTAAAGAAGTTGACAAATGAAACCCTCATAATTAAAAGAGTTTCATTTGTTAACTTTCTTATTTTCGTAATTACTAATGACGGGTTATAGGAAATAAACCATAGATCTTCACTTGCCCACATGGTACGAGAATAAAGATTATGCTCACTCCCTGGAAATGGGTAGTACTAAAGTCAGTTTTCTATGACCAAAGGCCTCCGTTAGCATCACACAATAAAACTAGGATCTCCCTTTAAACATCTATGAAACTCACCAATAAAAAAAATGAATATCAGGCAATGAAATCCACATAAAACTCCATGAATTGAAAATTTAATCATTTTACAATTAGAAATGTTTACTATAGCATCTACTAGAATCCCTCAATCAAATGTCTAAAAAGCTTCTCTTTGAGTGACAGGCAAAATTTAAATTCCAATTTTTGTGATAAGGTCAATAAGGAAATTAAATGTTAGTAATTTAAAATAAGGAAATTAAAATGTTAAGACTTTCCACAAATAGAAAGTGCCATTCAATTTCCATATATTCTTTTATTTAATAGATAAAAGCTACTCTTCAATTTCCAAATATTTCCTTTACTTAACAGATAAATAATATATAAACTCATAATACCTTTTGCACTGTCCACCTAATGAACCTGAGAGACTGACCTCACACACAAGATTATAGCACCTAAAAAAATGTGTAAAAGACTCTAGGGTACGCAAAACTGTTTCCCATCGTCCCCTCTACTCTTGAGTAGTTCTGTTTACTATGAGAGTATGGACACTGCCAGCCAAACACTGAAAGAAATGCCATATAATCCCCAAAGATATATGTACACAAACATATATAAATACATACAAACACATACAGACTTCTGTACAATTCATGTGCTGTAACCTATGTGAGTGGGTTTGTTTTCCAATACCACAGGCCATTTTGGTACCAGCTGCTGACCAAACTGAACTCTCTCCACGTGTTTGCCTGGCATGGTCCCTGTGCTGGACCTCAGTTCACAGAACTGGCACAGAAGTGGTTTGGTCACTCGTTTTGCTCAGATTCCGAGATCCATTTTTAAGTCATCATGATCCAGTCACATTTATAAAAGGGACTTTGAACCTGAGATACGTGGCAGACACTGAGCACACAGCTATCTGTCACCAATGACCCACACTATTCAATCATGGAGACCAGCATCACAGTCAATGACCAGCCATGGCTGACTGGCATAGCCGGAGTCTCACCATCATTGGAGTGTCCTGATTCCCTAAGAAAAAATGTTGTTATTTTCAGGACAAAATGCTTTTTAACATGTGAGAAATTCCCATGGGGACTTGTCAGTGGGAGGCAGAATTATTTCCTATACTTTTCCTTCACGTTTCCACATGGAGAAAAAAAAAAATTCATCCATACGAAGCCCAGTTCTTGGTCCACTTCATTCTGTGGGAAGAGATTATATACATGGGAATGAGAAGTATACATGTTCATTTTTCAAATAAGACAGGAGGCTTTACTATGTAACTATATGTAAAGTATCAGAATTTTATTACACTTATAGGATGTTTCTGATGTTATTTAAAGTTGACGAAAATGTAAAATGTTAAAAAAAACTGAAGGCTCAGATATCTCATAAGAATACTGAATGCCTAATACTATTTGTATTAAGTGACTCCTTGTACATCTAATGAAATTCTCAATTACTTAAAAAAACACAAACCACAAAAATAAATTTACTAAAAGTTGGATGTTACCTCAGGAGAATATTGTTTTGTTGCCTCCCAGATGAGTTAGCTGGTACAAATGACAAAATCAGCGCATCACTGGTTAAAGTCCACGGAATTCTGTGACAACCAATCTACAAAGTACAGGGGCAGTTAGGAAAGTTGTGAAACAACATTTGCCAAATGAAATATTGTTACAAGCAATTATAAGAATTAACTTTAGACATTCATTAGACTGTATGTATGACAAGACTATACTCACTTCTTTGATCAGACTGATACAGATAGAATTTTTTCTATTCTATTCTATTCTGTCTATTCTATACAGATAGAATATTTTCTATCCATGTCAGTGCTTTCTCAGCACACTGACTTCAAATTTATTTATTCTATAGCTAGCACATTTCTTTAAACACAGCGAACACAGTGTGCACTATTGTCAGAGAACCTATGTACATCCTGATATGCAGGAAATCATTTCTAGATTACTCATGATACCGAATACAATGTAAATACTGTGTAAATAGCTGTTACACTGTGTTTTTTAGGGAATAATGACCAAAGAAAAACACTGCACTTGGCTGGGCACAGTGGCTCATGCTTGTAATCCCAGCACTTTGGGAGACCGAGGCAGGCAGATCACTTGAAGTCAGGAGTTTGACACCAGCCCGGCCAACAAAATGAAACCCCATCTCTACTAAAAACACAAAAATTAGCCAGGCATGGTGGTGGGCGCCGGTAATCCCAGCTATTTGGGAGGCTGAGGTAGAAGAATCGCTTGAACCCAGGGGGCAGAGGTTGTAGTGAGCTGAGATCATGCCACTACACTCCAGCCTGGGCGATAGAGTAAAACTCTGTCTCAAAAAAAAAAAAAAAAAAAAAAAGAAAGAAAAAGACTGTACATCTTCAGTACAGATGAAACCATACAATTTTTTGTCAAATATTTTCAATCCATGGTTAGTTGAATCTGAAGATGCAGGCCCCATGGAGAAGGATAGCAAACTATATATGAAATTGTTTGCTAAATTAATAGAAAAAAAAAGAGAAAAACAAAACAACTGGTTCAATCTTAGCAGCTGGGTTGGCAACTGATTAAAATACACTTGGAAGATACCACATGAAATTGCTTCACTTTAAGAAAATGAGAAGTAAAACAAAAGACATTTATGCAGCCAACAAACATGAAAAAAGGCTCATCATCACTGGTCATTAAAGAAATGCGAATCAAAACCACAGTGAGACACCATCTCATGCCAGTTATAATGGTGACCATTAAAAAAGTCACGAAACAACAAATGCTGGAGAGGATGTGGAGAAATAGGAACACTTTTACAGTGTTGTTGGTAGTGTAAATTAGTTCAACCATTGTGGAAGACAGTGTGGTGATTCCTCTAGGATCTAGAAGTGGAAATACCATTTGATTCAGCAATCCCATTACTAAGTATATACCTAAAGGATTATAAATCATGCTACTATAAAGACACATGCACACATATGTTTATTGCGGCACTATTAACAATAGCAAAGACTTGGAACCAACCCAAATGTCCATCAATGATAGACTAGATAAAGAAAATGGGACACATATACACCATGGAATACTATGCAGCCATAAAAAAGGATGAGTTCGTGTCCTTTGCAGGGACATGGATGAAGCTGAAACCATCATTACAGCAAACATGAGAACAGAAAACCAAACACCACATGTTCTCACTCATAAGTGGGAGTTGAACAATGAGAACACATGGACACAGGGAGGGGAACATCACACACCAGGGCCTGTCAGCGGGTCAGGGGCTATGGGAGGGACAGCACTAGGAGAAATACCTAATGTAGATGATAGGTTGATGGGTGTAGCAAACCACCATGGCACATGTATACCAATGTAACAAAACTGCACGTTCTGCACATGTACCCCAAATAATAAATAAATAAATAAATAAATAAATAAATAAGAAGTAAAAACTCATAATATCCTTGGATTCTGACCATCTCATCACCCTCAAAAGGTCAATCAGTAGTTCAGGCAAATGTGGGAACAGACCAAGTATAGGCAGGAACATTTCTCTTGGGTCTCACTGTTCTGCTTCCCAGGCTCTGTTTCTATGGTATATAGATGCCGCCAACCAAACTCTCAGAGTTTCCATTTTACCCTACAATTGAATTTTTATACACAAACGTAAAATTCATTTCCTCCAATAAATGCACTCAAGTGGTTTTCAAATACCCCAGTCCCTGTGGTTACTTCTAACTGACCAACTAGTTGCAATTCCAGGCAACATGTTTGACTGGAGTGGTCTCTGTGCTGGACCTCAGCTCACAGAAGTGGTACAGAAGTGTTTTGGTCACTCATTTTGTTCAGATTTAAATTAGATCAATCTTTAAGTCATCATCGATCCAGGCACATTTTAAAAAGGAACTTTGAGTCTGAGATATGTGACAGATACTGATCACACAGCTTTCTGTCACCCTGGGACATGCTGACCCACACTATTTAATCATGGAGACCAGCATCACTGTCAATGGTCAGCCCCCTGGAGGACTAGCATAGCCAGGGTCCCATGGTCATTGGAGTGTCATGATCTCTTAACAGGATGTCAGTATTTTAAGGACAAAATGTTTACCATGGGAAAATTCTTACTGGTCCCTAAGGACAGGAAGCAGAATTATTCCCATTACTTTCCATCATATTACGACACAAGGAAACAATAAACTTGGCCATATAAAATGTAAAATGCAGTTTTGGTCTGCATCATCTTGTGAGAAGAGATTTTATATATATATACACACACACACACACACACATACACACACATCCATTTTTTAAAATTTGTATAGACGAAAGGTTTCATTATTAATCAGCATAGAAAACATACTAATTTGTAACTCTTAGAAATGTTTTAAATGTTATCCAAAGTACAGAGAAGAAAAAAATCTTAAGGAAAACTGACGCTTCAGATAGCGCATCAGATGAATAATTCCTAACACTGTATTAACCTATTGTTCACAAAACCAAATCACTGACAGTTTTAAAAATAATAAAAATAAATTTACTAAAAATTGGATACTACCTCAGGAGTGTGTTGTTCTGTTTCCTCCCAAATTAGTTAACTGGTACAAATGACAAAATTAGCCCTTCACTGGTTCAGTGGTAAAATTCCATGGAATTGTATCTCACCCAATCTACAAAGTGTAGAGGAAATTAGGGAAGTTATGAAACAAAATTTGCCAAATGGAATATTTAGTTACAAGGGAATATAAGAATTCACACTAGACACTCACTGGACTATCCAATGAATGACAAAATTATTCTTACATCCTTGATCACTATAAAATATAAACTTTGTTTTCCTAAATCTGAGACATTAGTCTCAAAGTTCCCCTGGCATCCCCAATCAAAAGCATTTATTACAATTAGGATATCTCTTCAAACACAATGGAAACCTTTGAGGATATATGAATATAGCCAATGAAATCTATGTAAAAAAGAATTTGAAATATAATCTAAGTTTATTTGAGGCAGCATATAGTTGAATCCAGCACTCAAATAAAAACAATGGTTTGCTTTTTCATAAGAAAAACCAAAATCGAAAAAACAAGTGATACAATCCTAGGGGCTGAATTGGCAAGAACATTAAAATACACTAGAATAGTCTACTTAGAGTACCATTTTTTTTTTAAATTTCCATGTAATTGTTTCACTTAATTGAAAATAAAAAGTAAGGTTGGGCATGGTAGTTCACGCCTGTAATCCCAACACTTTGGGAGGCTGTGGTGGGTGGATCACCCGAGGTCGGGAGTTCGAGACCAGCCTGGCCAATATGGTGAAACTCCATCTCTACTACAAATACAAAAATTAGGCAGGAGTGGTGGCGGGCACCTGTAATCCCAGCTACTCGGGAAGCTGAGGCAGGAGAATCTCATGAACCCAGGAGGTGGAGGTTGCAGTGAGCCGAGACTGTGCCACTGTACTCCAGCCTGGGCAACGGAATGAGACTCCATCTCAAAAAAAGTAAAATCTCATTATCTTTGGATTTGGATGTTGACCCTCTCATTACCCTCAAGAGACTGATCATCAACCAGAAAATTCTGCGAGCTCAGACAAATGTGTGAATGGCTCAAGGGTAGGTGCAATAACGTCCCTTGAGTCTCACTATGTCCTGGTTCCCCAGGGTCTACCAACTGTTTCCATAAATGCTGCCAAGCAAGTACAAAGAGACTTGCTATGTCAAACCACAGTTGGATATTTACAGACCTGAGAACAATTCATTTGCTCTAATATATATGGGTAGGTTAGTTTTCCAATACCCTAGTCCCTGTAAACTCACTCCCTCCTCATGTTTGCCTGGCATGGTCCCAGTGCTGGACCTCAGCTCACAGAAGTGGCACAGAAATGATTTGGTCACTCATTTTGTTCAGATTCCGATGAGATCCATTTTTTTATAGTCATCATCGATCCAGGCACATTTATAAAAGGGACCTTGAGTCTGAGATATGTGGCAGACACTAAGCACATTGGTCACTGGGACACACCGACCCACACTATTCAATCATGGAGACCAAGATCACAGTCAATGACCAGCCCATGGTGGACTAGCATAGCCAGAGTCTCATGGTTACCAGAGTGTTACGATTCCCTAAGAGGAAATGCTGGTATTCTCAGGACAAAAGGCTTACCAATATTAGAGTTCCCACTGGCCCTTGAGGATGGCATTAGTCCCAATACTTTCTTTCCTTCTTGTCTTGCCTCAAAGGAAGAATAGATTCCTCCATATGAAACCCAGTTCTTGGTCTACGCTGTCCTGTTGGAAGAGAGTATGTATATGAATCTGAGAAGCATACATGGACAATTTTTAGCCGTGCATAAGACAGGATGTTTCACTATTAACATATATGGAATACACACTAACTTATAACTCCTGTTGGACATTTCATGTTATTCGAAATAGAGAAAAGAAAAAAATCTTTAAAAAAAAGAGACTGACGCCTCAGCTCATCAGAATATTAATGTCTGAAACTGTCAGTATTAACCAATTCTTTGTGAACCTAAATTCTTGAGTACTTAAAAGAATAAAAATAACTCACAAAAATAAATTCACTAAAAACTGAATGTTACCTTAGAAGTGGTATTGATGTGCTTCTTCACAGCTACATCAGCTGGTACAAATGTCAAAATTAGCACTTCACTGGTTTGGCAATGAAATTCCATGGAATTCTATCTCACCCAATCTACAGAGTACAGGGGAAATTAGGAAAGTTGTGAAACAAAATTTGCTTAATGAACTATTGTGTTATAAGCAGTTATAAGAATTCACATTAGACACTCATTGGACCATCTGTATAACAAGAACAATTATGCACATGTCTTTGATTGAAATTGTATGGAAATAATGTTTTCTAAAACATTTATCCCGAAGTACCTCCAGCACATACCCTTCAAAATCATTTATTACAACTTTTAAATAATACAGTGGTCACACATGGAGGACATATGAAAGTAGACAATGAAATCCATGTGAAAATCCAAGAATTTGAAATACCACTTCTAAAAATGTTTGCTGCAACATGTAGTGGAAACCAGCACTGAACCATGTGTTAAATAGCTTGCTTGGTTGATGGGAAAACAAAAAAGAAACAGCTGTTTCAGTCCTTGTGACTAGGTTGGCAATCAAATGAAAATGTACGATAAGATTTCATATATTTATATCTTATATGATCCAAATATCTTATATTTCATATAAGTTTCATATATTTCATATAATTTATTCTTTAATTTCCATGCGATTATTTCACTTAAAAGGAAATGAGAAGTAAAAACTCATGATGTCTTTGAACGCTGAAAACTCTTTGCCATCAAGCAACAAATCATCAACCAGAATATTCCGAGCGCTCACACAAGCGTCCGAATGGCTTGTGGGTTTGCACAATAATTTCCTGTAAATCCTGTACCTCCTGTGCTGGCTCCCCAGTGTCTGGTTACTGCAGTGCATAGATGCTACCAGCCAAGCACTAGAAGAGTCTCCATCTTTCCCCCAACCACATATTGGTAGGTAACTGTCCAATAATGTCCTCTACTGTATATGAGCCGGTTAGTTTTCTAATTCCACAGGCCGTTTTGGTACCAGTGCTGACCAAACTGAAGGCCCTCCTCGTGTTTGTCTGGCACGGTCCCTGTGCTGGACCTCAGCTCACAGAAGTGGCACAGAAGTGATTTGGTCACTCATTTTGTTCAGATTCCGATGAGATCCATTTTTAAGTCATCATCGATCCAGGCACACTTATAAAAGGGACCTTGAGCCCGAGACATGTGGCAGACACTGAGCACACAGCTCCCACCTTTGGAGGCATGGAGACCAGCATCACAGTCAATGACCAGCCCAGGCTGATGAGCACAGCCAGGGTCACATGGTCACTGCAGTGTCATGATCCCCTAAGAGGAAATGCTGGTATTCTCAGGACAATATGCTTACCAATATCACATTTTGAGGTTTTGATGTCAGATTTTTCCATGATACACTCCATTCTGTCACTTTTGGAGGTTAAAAAAAATAACTTTCATATGGAAATCTGTGCTGGTTCCACAATGAACTACAAGGATAGAGAAAAAGCGAGCAAAGATGTGTAACACAGACATTTACCGTTCAAATGGCCTGGGGATCCCCACGCTGTAGCCCTTCTCACATGCACAGCTTCCGTGTTCCCTACACTGGAGAATCCCCTCCCACACTTCATGAAGCTACTGGCTGGTTGACCCAGGTTATCCTGTATGACTGAGTTGCCTGACCTAGGATGCTCTCTTCATTCCTGTGGTCCAGAGTCTCCTCCCCCTACATAGAGATACCCGGCATCTGGAAGTACAGAAAACCCTTCGCCATCTCAGGAAGTACCAGTAGGCACGAGTTGGAGGACCGGCAACATCAGATAAACTAAGTGATCAAAACAGCGCCCCCTCAGCTCTGATAGCAAGATTGCCTATGAAAACACGGCCTACAAATGTAGGACAGGACATTCAAATTAAACCTAAACAGGGCACACGCCTGCTAAAACAAAACATTTGAATAGATTCAGATTCCCCTAACTTAAAAAGGAAAAAAAAAATGCAGGATAAACTAAAACATTACCCATCTAACAAGAACTGGAAAAATCACAATTAGAAGGAAAATCATATGCAGGATGAGAAAAGACAGTTAACTAATCCAACCTCAAGATTAACCAAATGTTGTGCTTATCTGAAGAAGTTAAAAACAGTTACGGTAAAAATGCTTTGGCAAATAATTATAAAGCTTATTGAAAAAAGTAAAAAAGTAGAAATCTCAGAGAGGTAGTCGTAGTTTTTTTTTTTTTTTTTTTAAAAAGAACCAAGTGAAAAAACAGAACTGAAAATTTCAAAAATAATAGAGTAGTGATTAAGTGAATTTAGAATAGAACTATCAAATTTAGCTAATCTAGACAAGAAAGAAAATACTCTGGAAAAAAAAAAAAAGAACACAGCTTCATAGATCTGTGTGTGACACGGAGACATGAGGTTGAAAATAATTATAATATTCTTCTTTTTTTTTTTTAGACAGAGTCTCTGTTGCCCAGGTTGGAGTGCAGTGACATGATCTTAACTTGCTGCAGCCTCCGCATCCCAGGATCAGGTGATTCTCTTGCCTCAGTCTCCCAAGTAACTGGGACTATAGGCGCACAACACCATGCATGGTTAATTTTTGTATTTTGTATTTTTAGTAGAGACGGGATTTTGCCCTGTTGGCCAGGATGGTCGTGATCTCCTGACCTCATGATCTGCCCACCTCGGCCTCCCAAAGTGCTGGGATTACAGGCGTGAGTCACTGCGCCCAGCCGGCAGTCACAGACTTTAGATTGGAAATTAAATCCCATATCGTGCTCACTGAAACGTGAACACAATGGATAAATCAAACCATCACAAGAGTACATGCGAGACATCTATACTGGTGAAAACAAGAATTTTATCCCCCAAAACACCTGCACACAAAGAAGTATGGTAGGACAGAAGTCCAAGTCTAGATATGAAACATTGCACCCGGAATTATCTGTGGGAGGCAGGGCTGTGCCAATGGCTTACCTACGCCTCTCTGGAAAACACAACCATCCTGGAAATGGAGCATGTCTTCTAGGCTCCATTTTCCGACTCTTTAACAGAACTCATAGAAAAACCTTGACGAGCTACAGGAAAAAAAGCCAACAAACCACGGATAAAGTCAACTAAGTATTATACAAATAATTAGCATAACTGGAAACTGTTCCAGCTTTACAGCACAATCTTTTGGATTATTTCTCCAGAGATTAAAAAAAAAATAAGTGGTTAAATATTTTGTGACTTAAGTGTGAGAGAAAATGACATCACTGAATATAATCACACAAGCACTGACCCCAATTCAAGGTAACACCTATCACTGACATGCACATTTGGTCCCTTACCAAAAGAAGAAGAGGCTATGTTGCAAACCATGTTGGTGTATCTTCTAAAGCCAGAAGAGGCAAAAAATCATGAAGATATATTAGAACACCAACAGTACAGGAAAATGACAAGTCTTCTTTCTATGCAACTCCATACTCTCTTACATATGCGATCTGTATCTGCACTGGAAGCATATCAAATCGAAGTCCACATTTAAACAGAAAAGGTATATGCACAAACAAAAATGAAACGGAGTATTTCTTGTAGGATCCTCCTGGTTTCACTGCTTTTTCTCTTATTCTGACCAGTGGCCGAGTATAGCTGTGCAACTTAGAAGAGTAATGACAAATAGGAAGAGACATGCACTCCTCCGCCACTGTGTTAGTTATTGATGTGGTGGGTAAAATGGAAAACGGAGGGTCTCTGCAGAGAGATGCTTAGGGAGCCCACAGCCACAGTCCTCCAAACTGGGGAGTCTTCTGTGGCTGCAGAAGCAGCAACTCCAAGTACCTGCTGAAGTCAGAAATGGAGGAAAAAAGAGGAAAAAAAAAAAGGAAAATCAGGCAGAGCCACTTTCCTCAAACTGGCAGGGGCTCCAGGTGGCCTGTGGCAGCAGCAGTGGCCAAAATCAGTCAGACTCCACCTGGCAAGGCGAAGGGGCAACAGAAGTAGGAGACACGGTGAGGAGCACAGGCCAGGCCAGGCACACGGGGCTCATACAGGCAGATAGCGTGCTTCACTTGCTTGTGCAGGCGTTCACCTTGGAGGGCCAAAAAAGGGCCTTTCAGGTTCTCCCTAATGGATATATGCACACCCTACTACTTACTATGGTTTATGGCCAGAAGCCTGGCCATCTTGGGTGATATGCCTAGCAATCACTGGGAACATTATGTGGATAATATTCCACATATGGAATTCCACAAATTTAAGTCTTCTGAAGAAACTGACTTCCTCTAAGGGATGAGGGAATGCAGAGCTAGGACAAGTCAAACCTGGCCATGCAGAGACAGGCTACCCGCTAACTCTTCCTGTGCCACAGGCACATTCACCCGCTCCTGCATACAGTATGTGTGCCACCCTGCCCTCACAGAGAGGAACCCTTCACACAAGGAATCTCCTGTGCACAGGAGGCCGCACTCCCCTGCGACTCCCTTTGCCCAAAGGGGACCCCATCCTAAGGCTGGACAAACCCTTCAATGTAACCTTCGTCAACAAATGGAAGTGTTCCCTCTCTATCTACCCTCTGTTGGAGCAATATGCCAGACCTCAGTTCAATGAGGATGACAGTATAGAGTTTTCACTCATTTTGTTCAGCTTTCAAAGGAATGCATGTATAAAGGTCATCATTGATCCATGCACAGTCTTTGTACCTACAAAGATGGAATATCAAAAGGTTTTGGAAAATGGACATTTACCATCCTGAGGGGTCCACCAGCTTCTGAAGAAGCCCATGCCACATGTGCCGCACGTGCTCAGGGGCTCCCCACCATCTCCAGGAATCCCCCAAGACAAACATCATCCATCGTAGCCTGTGGCCTTCTTCCATGCCAGACCACCTAGGAATTAGAGGCAAAACAGGTGTGCTTGAGAAAGGCAAGCAGGTACACAGGTCTCAAGGGCCATGCCATTCATTCCGTTGTGGTGCATCCTGTACCTACTTCCCACAGGCTACTACGGAAGGAACCAGAGGCGCTATAATTTGTGGGTGTGGTCCGGTTTAGTAACACCTAAATTTTGCTGACAGCCATGAGTGACAAGATACAAACATCCATTGCTTCACACAGTTAAAAATAACTACAAACCTTTGTAGGTTTGCAATGCTTGTAACTAAGGTCTGGTATTCCAAGAACCATTGCCAGTGATCAAGGAACGTATTTCAAAGGCTCACTAATCCAAGATGGGGCAGAAAAGTAGACTATGACCTGACAATTTCATCTGTGCTACAAACCACAATCTGTTTTCTGCTAGAAAGCAGAATTTATAGAAAAGAAAATGGTGTGTTAAAGAAACAAATTAAAACTCTCGAGAGAAATCCTTGCACTTAAAACCTGAATGATGGTTTCATGGAAGCTCTGCATGGCAGGAATGAGGGCCCCTGTGTAAGGGAAAAGTTGGCCTGTGAATGTCTGCTGGACATAAAGGGTCCAATGGGAGCCTTGCAGATAAGGAAAATTATCCAACACTGCCTTGATATTGGACACAGGTCCACATGGGATACCCTAATTTTGTCACACAACCCCTGGGCAGTGAATTCTGCAATAAGATTTAGGAAGAAAACTGCCTTTGACCTTAGGCAGGAGATCAACACTGCCCCAAACCTGACCCCTAACGTACTTCTTGTTAAAGAGCCCCAAGAGAAGTGTCCACAATGACCAGACAGTGTCCCCAAAACAGTGGAAACTCCAGTAGCACTAGGATAGCAGAATGGCCCAGACTTAGCACTGCAGGGAGTACTAGTACAACCACAAGGACACGAAATATCAAAAAAAAAGACCTTCTGAAAAAGTTTCTGGATCACTGAGATTATTGCAGAAAGAAGAGATTGACACCAGACTTAATAGGTAGGAGAGAATAGGGCCACTTACATACACCAATATATTTTGGTTTTGCTGCTGTTCACTTGAGCTACCATCCACACTGCTGTTATATCACCACACTTAATGCTGGGATAACCACAACATTTTTTTTTTTCTGATATTGACCCGACATACTCCAATAAAATGTTCCCTGGAGAAAAACATGTGACGGGGGACGGAACAAAGACTGCCAGGAAACAAAAGCAATCTGCGGAAAGGCCCTCCCATGTAGACATCAGATCATATTCCATTCCCAGCACCCCAAAGCCAACATGGCATTTGTGATGTGCAGTACACACTCGCAAACGTGGCTGACCATCCCCGTCTTAGGGTACCAAGTCAATACATGCATGGCGCCTTCTCATCCCCACCTGGAGTAACCATCGCTGGCCGTGGGATTCAGTTTCTCCGGAGGACATACAAATCACTCATGGAGCCAATCCACAGGATATTCTCCAGAAAGAGAGTAAGCACCACTGACCTCTTCACAACTGACTTCCACTGCTGCTACAAAAACACCACGGGCACTAAAAAGTCCTCAGCCACGAGAAAAATGAGCCAAAGAACAGCAAGGGTGTGGCCTTGGGCTCTTCCCAACCACAAGGAGCTATCTACCTCTGGGGGACAAGGGAACCCAGAGCCAGCACTCAAGGACAAACCTGGCCACACAGTGGCGGGTTACCGGCTAACTCTTCTGTGCCACCTGCACATTCCCCTAGTCCTGCAGACAGTGTGTATGCTGCCCCAGCCTCACAGAGAGAAGGCCTTCACACAACGAATCTCCTCGGCACAGGAGCGCCTACTGCCCCATGACTCCCTATGATCCAAAGCGGACCCCATCCTAAGCCTGGATGGATGGCTTAGTGCTACCTGCATCAACAAATGGAAGTTGTCCTTCTCTCCAGCCCCAGCTGGAGCCATGTGCTGGACCTCAGTTTGATGAGGACGACGGTATAGAGTTTTCACTCATTTTGTTCAGCTTTCCAAGGAATGCATGTATTGAGGTCATCATCGATCCATGCACAGTCTTTATCCCTACAAAGAAGGAACATCAGGGGCTTCTGGAAAATGGACATTTACCAACCTGTGGGATCCACCAGCACCAAAGGAGACCAGATTCCACTTGTCAAGGGGCTCCCTGCCATCTCAATGGATCTTCCAAGATGAAGACTGTCCCTCGTAGCCACTGGCCTTACTTCCATTGCCACAACTCCTGGGAAGTGCAGAGGAAAAACAGGTGTTCTTCAGAACGGCAGGCAGGCACACATGTCAAAAGGGCCAGGCCATTCAATTCACTGTGGTGTATCCCATATGTACTTCCCACAGGCTACTGCCCTTTTGGGATGGGTGTATGGGTCTACCCAGGAACGAAGATATCAGGCATGTGTTAATTTTGAAGGCACTATCAAGCTACAGAGCCCTAAGTGTAAGAACTCACTCAAAACCACTCATTTGGCACCATTGACTCAAAAGCCCTCCTCTTGGTCATCAGAGAAGACAAACGCCACAGGGCTACTTAAATGAAGAGGGTTTCGGGGAAAAACTCTTCCAGTACAAAAGGCAATTTTCCTTCGGTCTTGAAGACTTTTCACCCTGGGCTACTTCAACACTTTTCAGATTGAGAAAAACGTTCAATAACAACTTAACCGCTACCTCAGCGTCTTCCTCACAGGTGCAGCTCAGGGATCCAGAGGAGCACCAGACACACTGACTCCCACAGGGCTTCTAAGGCACTGTGGCTGAGAACACCACACATTTTAAGGCACTTTCCTATGAACATGGCCGCACAGTCTAAAACCTATGCATCACTGCCTGTGGACACTAGCCCTGTCCTACAACAAGATGACTATTTCACAAAGAAGACTGCTGGGAAGCATGAGGAGAAATTAGAAAATAACCTAACATCACGAGCCACTATGGTAACTAAGCACAGAGACCTTCCTGGACCACCAAGGAGTAGAGATCTCCAGGATGCGGGAAGTCACACTCTTACAATCAGGCACGATGACTGCACTGAGGTGCCTGAGCGGTTCAGAGGCAAAGTATGCACAACCTAGGATGGGTAGAAACCCTGGGCCAATATAAGCTCAAATGCCTAATGGAGACAAGCATCTCACACAGGGTCCTGAACACAGACCAAGTCAGTCTGAGGAGTTGCAGAAGCACATGGACCTGCAATCACATTCCTGTCCCAGCACCCTGAGGTCACCATGAAATGAAACGTGGGCACCCTACAATGTCTGAAAGAGGCCCACAGTCATCACTCCACGACCCACATGGAATGCTGTCCAGTAAATGCACATGCAGACCTCTCCCCTTCCCACTGCCAAGACCCTTCAGGGGCGATGGGACTGGTTTCCTCCTAGGGACATACAAGTTCAACATAGATACCCGCTCTGGGCTCCTCTGCAGAAAGCAAATCAGCATCGCCATCCTCCTGAGGACTGCCTGCCCCCACTGCTACCCAAACACCATGGGAACTCCCACGTCTCCAAATGAGTATGAAAGTGAACCAAAGAAGTGCCCAGGAACAACACTGTGCTGTCTGCCCATGCAGAAGCCACTGTCTTCCTTGGGGGAGTGCAGGAGCCAAGGAGTATGAATCAAGGACACACACAGCCACACAGAGGGAAGTGCTTCAACCAAGCTGTCTCTCAGCCACAGAAGTCCAAAATGCCCAGCTACTCCACTTCACCCAAAGACAACCCCATCCCAAGTGTTGACACAGCCCGTGTCAACAAATGAATGTTGTCCCTCTCTCTAGCCCCTGATGGAGCAGTGTGCTGGACCTCAGTTCGACGAGGATGACGGTATAGAGTTTTCACTCATTTTGTTCAGCTTTCCAAGGAATGTGTATATGGAAGTCATCATCGATCCAGTCTTTGCCCCTGCAAATGAGGAAAATCAGCACGCTTTAGGAAGGAATCACTTACATTCAGGAGGGTTCCATCAGCCTCCGAAGGAGCCCACACTCCATGTGGCCCCGGACTTCTGCCATCTCGCAGGATCACATGAGATGACAATCATTCCTTGCTAACATGAGCCTGCTTTTTACACGAACACCACTGGGGAGGTGCAGAGAAAACACGGATGTGCATCAGAAAGGCAGGCATGTGCACAGGTTCCAAGGGCCATGTCATCCAGCCCGCTGCGATACATTTGCTGTCCGCCTGTCTCTGGCCTCACCTGTTCATAAACACAGAAATGCATGGACACAGGGACGCTCGTCTGGGGGTCAGGTGCCTTCAGAGCACATCATCCCACTAAAGAGCATGTTTAGCATCCTTCTCAATATCGTTGCTTCAATACCTACAATGATGCTCACAAAGCCTTGGGGCCCTCGACCCTTAATGAGAAAGGCTTTCACCTATATCTATATTGGGTTTAAGATAAGCCAGAGGCTCCTCGAGTATCAGAACCAATGAGCGGGAGCTCACTTGTTCATGCAATGTACATGTCCCCCAAAGACACAGGATACAACATGGGCACAGAGGCTATGCCTGGTGACCAAAACTCTAATGTCCTCAACCAAGGACAAAGTTAGCCAACAAATGACAAAGATGCGGCCTTGTATTCTCCTCCCAACCAGACAGATTGTCTTCTTTCAGGGGACCTGAGAACTCAGAACAAGGACTCAAGAACAAATTGGCAATCAGAGGTGGGCTGCCAGCTAACTCTTGCTAGGCCACATGGACATTCACTTAGTCCTACAGACAATGTATGTGTTACCCACGCTCACTGACAAAGTCCTTCAAACAAGAAATTTCCTGTGTGTGGGAGCCACCACTCTCCTGTGACCCCATTCAACCATAAAAGACCCCATGTTAAGGCTAAACAGACCCCTTGGTATAACCCTTATCAAAAAATGGATGTTTTTTGGCCCTCTCTGTCTAGTCCCTGTTGGAGTAATGTGCTGGACCTCAGTTCGACGAGGATGACGGTATAGAGTTTTCACTCATTTTGTTCAGCTTTCCAAGGAATGTATACATGGAAGTCATCATCGATCCAAGCACAGGTTTCATCCCTACAAATAAAGAAACTCAAGAGTGCTTTGGGACGGAATCACTTACATTAAGGAAGGTTTCAACAGCCTCTGAAGGAGTCCACACCATGTGTGTCCAGGGGCTTCCTGCCATCTCCAAGGATCATACGAGGTGACAATTATTCCTCATGATACGAGACTGCCTTGACTCCAACACCACCTGCGAAGTGCAGAGGAAACACAGGCGTGCTTCAGAAAGGCAGACAGGTGCACAGGTCACAGGGCCGTGTTATCCAATGTCCTGGGGTACATCTGCTATCTGCCTTTATGTGGCCTCCCTTGTTCATGGACGCAAAATGCACGGATGTGGGGACGCTCATCTCGGGGCTGGAGGCCCCTGCAGTGCACCATGCTGCTAAAGAGCACTGACATTGACCATACCTCTCAACATCACTGCTTCAATGCCTGCCATGCCACTCACAAAAGCTTTGGGACCATAAACCCCTAAGGAGGAAGGCTTTAACCTCTATCGGGTTTACGAGAAGCCAGAGGTTCCTCGGGTATCAGAACCAGCTTGGAGTAGGAGCTCACCTGTTCGTGCGAAACACATGTCCCCAAATCACATCGGATATAACACAGGCACACAGGCACATAGGCTATGCCCAGTGACCAAAACTCTAATGTCCTCAACCAAGGACAAACTTAGCCAACAAATGACAAAGATGCGGCCTTGTACCCTCCTCCCAACTAGACAGATCTGTTTCTTCCAGGGGACCTGAGAACCCAGAACAAGGACTCAAGACCAAACTGGCAACCAGAGTAGGCTGCCAGCTAACTCTTGCTAGGCCACATGGACATTCATCCAGTCCTACAGACAATGCATGCGTTACCCACCCTCACTGACGAAGTCCTTCAAACAAGAAATTTCCTCTGCGTGGGAGCCACCACTCTCCTATGACCCCACTCACCCATAAAAGACCCCATCCTAAGCCTGAACAGACCCCTTGGTATAACCCAAGTCAACAAACGGATGTTGGCCCTCTCTGTCTAGTCCCTGTTGGAGTAATGTGCTGGACCTCAGTTCGACGACTGTCTCTTATACACATCTAGATGTGTATAAGAGACAGGGTTTCAACAGCCTCTGAAGGAGTCCACACCATGTGTGTCCAGGGGCTTCCTGCCATCTCCAAGGATCATATGAGATGACAATCATTCCTCATGATACGAGCCTGCCTTGACGCCAACACCATCTGCGAAGTGCAGAGGAAACACAGGCGTGCTTCAGAAAGGCAGACAGGTGCACAGGTCACAGGGCCATGTTATCCAATGTCCTGGGATGCATCTGCTATCTGCCTTTCTCTGGCCTCCCTTGTTCATGGACGCAAAATGCACGGATGTGGGGATGCTCATCTCGGGGCCGGAGGCTCCTGCAGTGCACCATGCTGCTAAAGAGCACTGACATTGACCATACCTCTCAACATCATTGCTTCAATGCCTGCCATGCCACTCACAAAAGCTTTGGGACCATGAACCCCTAAGGAGGAAGGCTTTAACCTCTATCGGGTTTACGAGAAGCCAGAGGCTCCTCGGGTATCAGAACCAGCTTGAAGCAGGAGCTCACCTGTTCGTGCGAAATACATGTCCCCAAATCACATAGGATATAACACAGGCACACAGGCTATGCCCGGTGACCAAAACTCTAATGTCCTCAACCAAGGACAAAGTTAGCCAACAAATGCAAAGATGCGGCCTTGTACCCTCCCCACAACTAGACAGATCTGTTTTCCTCCAGGGGACCTGAGAACCCAGAACAAGGACTCAGAACAAATTGGCAACCAGAGGTGGGCTACCAGCTAACTCTTGATAGGCCACATGGACGTTCACCCAGTCTTGCAGACAATGCATGTGTTACCCACGCTCACTGACAAAGTCCTTCAAACAGGAAATTTCCTGTGTGTGGGAGCCACCACTCTCCTGTGACCCCATTCACCCATAAAAGACCCCATCCTAAGGCTAAACAGACCCCTTGATATAACCCATGTCAACAAACGGATGTTGGCCCTCTCTGTCTAGTCCCTGTTGGAGTAATGTGCTGGACCTCAGTTCGACGAGGATGACGGTATAGAGTTTTCACTCATTTTGTTCAGCTTTCCAAGGAATGTATACATGGAAGTCATCATCGATCCAAGCACAGGTTTCATCCCTGCAAATGAAGAAACTCAGAGTGCTTTGGGACGGAATCACTTACATTAAGGAAGGTTTCAACAGCCTCTGAAGGAGTCCACACCATGTGTGTCCAGGGGCTTCCTGCCATCTCCAAGGATCATACGAGATGACAATCATTCCTCATGATACAAGCCTGCCTTTTGCCAACGCCACCTGCGAAGTGCAGAGGAAACACAGGCGTGCTTCAGAAAAGCAGACAGGTGCACAGGTCACGGGGCCATGTTATCCAGTGCCCTGTGATACATCTGCTATTTGCCTGTCTCTGGCCTCCCCTGTTCACGGACGCAGAAATGCATGGACACGGCGATGGTCATCTCGGGGCTGGAGGCCCTCGGGGCGCACCATCCCGCTACAGAGCACTGATGTTGAGCATACCTCTCAACATCATTGCTTCAATGCCTGCCATGCCACTCACAAAAGCTTTGGGACCATGAACCCCTAAGGAGGAAGGCTTTAACCTCTATCGGGTTTAGTTGAAGCCAGAGGCCCCATGGGTATCAGAACCAGCTTGGAGCAGGAGCTCACCTGTTCGTGCGAAATACATGTCCCCAAATCACATGGGATATAACACAGGCAACACAGGCACATAGGCTATGCCCGGTGACCAAAACTCTAATGTCCTCAACCAAGGACAAAGTTAGCCAACAAATGACAAAGATGCGGCCTTGTACCCTCCTCCCGACTAGACAGATCTTCCCGGGGATCTGAGAACCCAGAACAAAGACTCAAGACCAAACTGGCAACCAGAGTAGGCTGCCAGCTAACTCTAGATAGGCCACATGGACATTCATCCAGTCCTACAGACAATGCATGTGTTACCCACGCTCACTGACAAAGTCCTTCAAACAAGAAATTTCCTCTGCGTGAGAGCCACCACTCCTGTGACCCCACTCACCCATAAAAGACCCCATCCTAAGCCTGAACAGACCCCTTGGTATAACCCATGTCAACAAACGGATGTTGGCCCTGTCTGTCTAGTTCCTGCTGGATTAATGTGCTGGACCTCAGTTCGACGAGGATGACGGTATAGAGTTTTCACTCATTTTGTTCAGCTTTCCAAGGAATGTATACATGGAAGTCATCATCGATCCAAGCACAGGTTTCATCCCTGCAAATGAAGAAACTCAAGAGTGCTTTGGGATGGAATCACTTACATTAAGGAAGGTTTCAACAGCCTCTGAAGGAGTCCACACCATGTGTGTCCAGGGGCTTCCTGCCATCTCCAAGGATCATACGAGATGACAATCATTCCTCATGATACGAGCCTGCCTTTTATGCCAACGCCACCTGCAAAATGCAGAGGAAACACAGGCGTGCTTCAGAAAAGCAGACAGGTGCACAGGTCACAGGGCCATGTTATCCAGTGTCCTGGGGTACATCTGCTATCTGCCATCTGCCTTTCTCTGGCCTCCCTTGTTTATGGACGCAAAATGCACGGATGTGGGGACGCTCATCTCGGGGCTGGAGGCCCCTGCAGTGCACCATGCTGCTAAAGAGCACTGACATTGACCATACCTCTCAACATCACTGCTTCAATGCCTGCCACGCCACTCACAAAAGCTTTGGGACCATGAACCCCTAAGGAGGAAGGCTTTAACCTCTATCGGGTTTAGGAGAAGCCAGAGGCCCCTTGGGTATCAGAACCAGCTTGGAGCAGGAGCTCACCTGTTCGTGCGAAATACATGTCCCCAAATCACATCGGATATAACACAGGCACACAGGCTATGCCCGGTGACCAAAACTCTAATGTCCTCAACCAAGGACAAACTTAGCCAACAAATGACAAAGATGCATTCTTGTACCCTCCTCCCAACCAGACAGATCTGCTTCTTCCAGGGGACCTGAGAACCCAGAACAAGGACTCAAGACCAAACTGGCAACCAGAGTAGGCTGCCAGCTAACTCTAGATAGGCCACATGGACATTCATCCAGTCCTACAGACAATGCATGTGTT